TAATTAAGGAGTGTCAAAAATAAAATTTATAATATTTGGATGTCTTCTTAATGATACTAATTAGTATAGCTTGAATATTTGAGTCAAACCATAAGGAGTTGTCTAAATTAAGGAGAGATTTAAGTTTTAATCATGATTGAATTTTTGATGAAGAAGAGAGTTGACTTAGGCACATTAAGGAGGGAATAGATGAATCTTCTTTCGAAGATTTTTCAATCACCAAAAGAAGAAAATCAAGTGAGAAACAAATGGTGAAATGTGAGATAATTCTAAATAAAAATTCTAATCTTGCAATGTCACATAAGAGATTAATAGAAAGATTAAAAGAGACTAATCTACTCCGAAACTACTTCTTAATCTTTCTTTTATCCCTCTCTACTTTCAATCAATACTCAACTTTGATGAAGCAAAGGGCAAAACATTATTGAAGGAAAAGGATCTAAAGCATCCTAAATTTGCCCTACCTTGTTCACTCTTGAAAATGTGATCAATCTTTACAAATCAAGAGATCTATATACATCAAGAAAAGCAAGAGAAGGATAGAAGGGTTGGAGTTTTTACTAGGATCAACCTAGTGTCAATCTAGGGATCAAATAATCGAATCCCTTCTTACTCTTCAACTCGATCAACTCTTTCTCATCAAGAGGGTCTCAAGAAGAGAATGTAATAAGAAAATAAATACAATACATAATGAAAGAACCAAATACATAAAGGTGCCTTCTATATGCCATTGGAGTACTCAAACAGATCCCTTTATGGAGTTCCTAGATTAGCTCAAGGAGTAATGTTTGTAGAGATCTCTTCTCCATCTTGGGTGCCCCATTCCTCTGAATGGAATGACCTTCTCTCTCCTCTATGTGGTTTTTTATTCTCCCCTTGGTCTTGCCCATTCTCAACCTTTGGATCATGGGCAAGAGTGCACAGCCCTTGGATTAGAATTCTCTCTCCAAGGGCAGCCCAAGTAAGGTGGGCAATGCCTAGGGTATCCTCTCACCTTCCCTCACCCTAGGACCTATCTCAGCCCTTGGATTGGGCTGATTGAAGGGCTGAGATAGTCCCAAGGGTTATCAAATGAGGGAGAAGGGCATGGCTGATCAAATGGTGCCTAAGTGGCTGTTTCCTTAATTTCAGGGGAGGAAAAATGACTCCTTGTTGGACCTCCTCCTTAATTAATGAGAGTTGTCCAGCTGGCCCATGGGCCTGATATGACCAGAAACATAATATTAAAATAAAGCCCATTACACTTAACCAGATAAATTTAATAAATTAGGCATAAGAGAGAAATCAACATGGTAAATCTAAACTCATTTATACATGAGTTGAGTTAGGGCTTAAGAGATGTATAATAAATCATAAAAATCAGATGTATTATGTTTTATAATTTAAATATTCATGAGCCAAAAAAATGATATTAATTCGGATTTAATAGAAATTTTTAAAAAATAGAAAACATTTAAAATATTCATTTAAACTTGAAATTCTTAGAATACTCAGAAAAATCCGAAAAATATCTAAAAAATTATGAAAAATACTTTGATCATATTAAATCATTATAAAATATTTAAATGAAGAATTATAAATTTAGATATCAAATGAAAAAAAAATTAGAATTATTATTCAAATGAAACATATAAATATATATACACATTATAGAAAAATGAAAAATTCACAAAATTAGACATGTATTTAGAATATTGATCATAAATTATGCTTCATCTATTTTATGTATAATTAAATGTCAATTTTTTTCAAGTTAAATACTAATTGTCTGAATTATGTCATACTTACATGCAGAATTTGCATATTATCAACGTTGTAGTTTAGTAGGTCTTTCTTTTATTAGCTTCTATTAAAAATGTTAGAACTCTAGAAATTAAATTTAGTGTGAATAAAATCAAGAAGTTTCGTACTAACTTGTGCTGTTTAATTTATGAGTTTTACTGCAAGAAAAACAAGTTTCTTGGATTCAAGAAATAGCCTACATTATGATACCCTCCTTAAGATAAAATTATTGAAAATCTTTTACTAAATTGTACATAAAGTAGGATACCGACACTTAGCATTATTCTTCCCTCTTATAAAATAGAAGTCATATATAGATGTTATGAGATTTTTTTGTACAAATATAAAGTATATAAAAATATTATTTACTTTGACTTGATGATTTCGTAGTCTTAAGATGATAAATGGATAAAGTAAAGCTACTGAGGGTTATCATAGTTATTTTGAAGATGATCACCATGTATGGGTCTATTTTAGTCATTAGTTTTAAGTATGTGATTTGAATAGAAGATTAATACGAATATCATAAATATTTCTAATTAAGTTTTATAAATAAGTATGTGATTTAAAACTTTGAGTAGTATCTTGAATACTCTTGTATTTTTTCCTGATTTATTTCAGTTTAAAAGATCAGAAAATAAATTTTTTTAGCTTAGCCTTAATTTAAGGGGAAGTTTTTGATTATTTGGCATGATGTGAAGGAAATAACTGATATAATTATAGGGGTTTAACAAGAAGCCATGTAAGGTCAAAAATTTAGAACAATAGATATAGATATTTTGAATCCAGGTTAAAAGGATCTCGAAACCCATTTAAATGTGGAAAATAGATCCCTATTAAAATAAATCCAATACCAAAACATAACAATGGAACAAGTGCCATATATGTAGTTGCAGTAGCGACATGTGCCACCACCATCTGCTGACTTGAACCCTCAACTATAGTTTGCACAAAATGACAAGGTTTTCTAACGATGATCGAGAGGATGGAAGTGATAGGCAACAATGATCCAAGTGAACAACATGATGGAAATTAAGGATTTAATGTTGAGAAAAATAGAGAATGATAAAAATGAAATGAGATGGATTGAAGTCATAATTTGAACCCATAAAGGCACGAGAAAAAGGTTGGCCTTTTAGATCATCTTAGAGTAGTCATCTAATGACTTACTTAAGAGAGATAGAATGCTCTAAGAGTAACTCTCAATGTGTAACCGAAGGACCATAACCCCTTATTTATGGACAAGAGGTGGTTTGCCTCTTAGTGTCTTTTTCTAAGTTTTCTCATCATAAAATTAGAATAAGACCTATCTCTACACATTTATATTTATGTCCATACTTACAAAAGAGGCCGTAATCTCAAATACTTCAATTTCAATGAATCACTTTAGTTGAGATTAACTCTATGATAGACTCATAATATATAATTCACACACATGATATAAGGTCAGTCGTCAATGTCTTCAGCATGTTTTAACAATTAAACAACCACTATGAAACCTTTAATCTTATTAATTTTTTATTCAAAAATAGAAAAATATTTGTTATTCATGGAACGTCAAGAACATGAATATATCGAGATTTGACTATAAAAATTAATTGAAAATAAGTTAGACATGATCTTAGCTTAATCTCAAACAAGTTTTGGAGGATTTAGTAGAAGAATGAAGATCATTTATCAAGTTTTGAATTAAGTCTATTAATTTTTATCAAAACATATATGAAATAGAAATAACTTGTTGTAAAATATAAATAAATGTACAAAATTGTTGCTTAAGTTGTCTGTCGCATCATGCCGGAAGTCACAGAAGTATTGTCTAGAAATGTTGTACCACTTGTTAGAGCGATCTACTAAAAAGAGGAGTCAACCACACTGTCACCATCATCTATTGGGAGAAGGGAATAGCTAACCATTCGTCAAAGGCTTTATTAAAGTTAGGGGAGGAAGGAACGAGCTCCCCAATCACCAGAAAGAAGAAATGGATTGCTGTATTTGTGATTGTCATAAGGATTTTAAAGATAATTATTAATATATATTTTACCAAATAATAATTAATATTTATTTTTATATCTTTGATGCTGATATGTGCAAGAACTTATGTTCTTGATATCAGGACACTTTGCGAGCAGCTAGATCAGATGTGCTTGGTCATGTGATGCACTAGGCGACGCTAAATTAACCCGCCACAAATTATTGTGGACTAAGAACTTAAGTCTCTAGTATTATGGTGCTTCGCTTGCCGTCAGATCATCGTTTATGGTCACATGTGTGCTGAGCGGTGTCAAATACACAAACTACTGATGGATTGTTTTATACTTTAGGTATCGTGGCAGTTGTCTTGCCGTAGGATCTGCTTTATCTAGTAATGTGGGTCGTTGAGCATTGTTAGATCACATTGTACTCTAGACCGTTGCCTTAAAACAAACGAGAATGTTTACGACACGTGTCGACCCTCGCATGCACACATGTGTACAACACTCCTTGCTCCATGACCAGTTGGTCACCAAGACATGGTAGGAGAGTAATGCACACATGCACAAAGTGAGTCCTACGCCACGAGCTCAACTCATGCCCCCCCCTATTCTAGGTCTACCCACTTGAGTGTAGTGCCCCTCCAAGTCAACTATTGAGTGCTAGCTTGCTAACACATAAAAAATAAAATAATAAAACTAATTAAAACATAAAAATCTAGCTTTAACATGATCCTAGAAAATAGGAGAGAAATAGTTGAAACTTTCCTACAAGGAGGATTCTGTTACAATGTCCATTAAGCAATAACTAACTCCCTAGACCGACTATGGTATCTTTTTACATAAATAAAAAGTGTGGATTGAGATTCAACCAAATCAAAAGTGTGTTGAGTCTCTTATCAAGTCATTTTGAGGTGAATTTAAGCCGAATAGAGTCTTCACGCCTCCTAACCCTTTGATTCACTTCAATTGGGCTAAGACTACACTTGTACTCTATAGTTTAGCATGAAATCATGAACCTTTTGGCTCTCTAGATGCAGATCATGCTAGTTTCTTCAATCTGGATCAAAAACATTCTAGCTGACATTTGACGACAATTTCTAGGTTACGTCATTCAAAAATTGAAATAGAATGAGACCAGAAAATAGAAAAAAGAAGCAATAGAAAAAAATAGAAGAAGGATTAAAATAGGAAGAACTAAATAAAATGAGGAACATAAGAAAACCATAAGCTAAGAATGGAAGGAGAATGGAAAAGTACAAAGTGCTAGAAATAGAAGGGGGATCAAAAAGCAAGTGCTAAAAATAGAACCTTGCAAAGAAAGAAGAGGGAGGAAAAAAGGCAGTGTGAAAATTAGAGCGAGGATAAAAAAGCAAGAGCTACAAATCAAAGCTGCTGAAAATATCAAGACTCAAAAATAAAAAGGATTAAGAGAAGAACATGAGCTAAAAATAGAATAGGGTAGCAGATAGGAGGATAAAAATAGAAACTAGTAAAAATAGAAATTACAAAAAACTCCTAATTTAGCTATTTTTATTTTTAGCACTTGCTATGTTTGACCCCTTTTTATTTTCAGCCCTTGCTATTTTTTACCCTTTCTATTTTTAGTTCTTGTTGTTTTGTATCTCTATCTATTTTCAACCCTTGTGAACTTTTTACAATTTTCTTATATTTATCCGCTTTCTATTTTAACCTCTTGTTGTTTCTTTCTACATCTTTCTATTTTTAGTACTTTCTTCTTTTATACCATTTCATGTGATGTAGCCCAAGACACAAACTGAAGTTTCAACTTCGAATTTGGGCCCACTTATCCTAAATTTAGGCTATACAATGAAAAGTGCTAAAAAGAGAGCCCACATATGTTACTAGTGGACTAGAGGTCTGAAAAGTAATATTTATTTTCTAGAAGGGGGTTTAATATGGTTCAGTCTATACCTAAGATCTATTTAAGATCTCAAACAATCAAAGTCTATACTTAAGATTTATTCAATATATCTACCTATTAGATTTTATTTCAAGTCATTTTAGAGTTAGTTAGAGATTTTTAGAAGATTTGTCCAAGATCTAATTTGTTTTAAAATTTACTTTAAGTTATTTCATAGCTAATTAAACTCTATCCCTATGATCTATCAAAATCCTCCTTTTGGGAGCACCCCACCTCATTTCTAGGCTTATATAAAAGCTCTTATTGTAACTTGAGATTCTCACTTTTGAGTTGAATCAGTTTTCTCTACTATAAGAACCTTTCCCTCTTACTTGTGGATTCAGGCACCTCCTTGTGGATTCAAGAGTTGAAGACCTCGAATTTGTGGATTCAGATGTTAGTTTCTTCCCCAAGATTAGGGTTTTGTGGATTCAAGCCCAAAACTTATTTATCTTTTGGGTTACTATTGTGTCATGTTACAATATTGAATACATTGAGTCATAAGATTTTAACTAATTCTTATCCCCAATCATTAGAGGAAGACCAAATAGATTAGTTATTAAAAGTAAATAAAAGTCTTAAGGTTGAAAATATAATAGCATAAAATTTGAGTAAGATCATTTATTGCTCGTAGTTGATGAATGAAGATAGTGAGGATGATGAGGAGGAATAATTGTTAAATGAAGAATTAGTACCTAATTATGAAAGAATTATTCAAATTTATCAGAAGTAATGGCAAAAATAAAGAAAAATAGAAATTTAGAGAGGAAAAATCAGCTGATTTTGGAGATGTAAGAGATAAAATTATTAAATCTAATCAATATTTTGCAGCAATAGACTTTAATAGTGATGATGATGATGCATATTGATGTGCACTTATCATTGTGTTTAAATCTCCATTATCTAATATTAGTATAGAAGTAATTTTTAGGTCAAACACAAGGAGATTGATTAATTCATCATTAAAACTAATTTAGTTTATATACAAAGTGATTTTAATATCGTATTAATATTTAACAGAAATAATAAAATAAAAGGGTGAGGTGATAAGAATAAAGGAAAGGAAGTAGAAAAAGAAAAGAGAAGAGAGAGCTCTCACGAAGGACAAGAGAAGAGATCTCTCACAAAAGAGAGAGAAAGAGAGAAGAGGAAATCTCACATGAGATAGAGAGAGAGAGGGAGATTAATCAAGAGAGAGAAAGAAAAGGAGATCGATCAAGAGAGGGGGAGAGAAGGAGAACAATCAAGAGAGAGGGAGAGAAAGGGAGAGATCTCACGAGAGACGAAGAGAGAAGAAGAGGTCTCACAAGAGAGAGAGGAAAAGAAATAAGATGATAATAAAGAAAGAGAGAAATACGGTCGACTCATTTTCACTGTGACCATTATTCTCGAACGAATATGTGTTTAAGAATTCACACACATGACATGAGGTCAGCTGTGAATCTCTCCAATTTATTTTAACCATTGAATACTCATTAATCAGCCTCCTCCCTAGGCTTAGGCAACCTCTCTAAAGCTTGAATTAGTATACTCATCTGCTGTTGTAATACCGTTGTGGTCTATTGCAAATGCACTTAGAGTTCCTACAACTCTCTCTTGATGCACTTCATTCTAGGGTCATCAAACTTAGGAGGTATCATGTAGCTCTAATACCAAATTTATAAGAACCTATTTTCTCTTGGTGACAAAAGAAAAAAATAAATCTAAGAGTAATTGCTTAAGAATTACAATCTCAAAAAAGATTACTCTTGAATGAGTTTCTGATCATTCAAAAGAAGAAGAACATGAGAAGAAAGGGAGAAAGAAGAAGATACAACCACTACAATATCTTGTTTTCTTTCCACAACTTTCTTATTTATAAGCAGTGTTTATCCTTCTAGAAGTGTCTAACTATTTCTCCATTTCATGGGTATTGTATGTGGCTTAGTTGTTTAGATCATTTATTCTGCTATACTAGTAGTAAGTGGGGATACATTTAATCACATTGTCCTGGTTCACGATTTCATCTCAAACCATCTTTAGTTTTGGTTCATGTATAAGTGAATCCATGAGAACTTTCCTTGCTTACTTAATCATTATAGTTCTTGGACCGGTGATCGAACCAATGTCTTTATCTCAGATGTCAACCGACTCTGATCAAGGATCTCTTCTTCTTGTACTTCTCTTTTTTTAGCTGAGCTGTTTTGTCTAAAATGCCCATTAGATCATCTTGTAAAGGACTCTTACCTGATCAATGGTATATTCATCTACCCTAACCATTAATGACTTTTGATGATTAGAGGTATTATGATGTAGTAATAATGTGGAAGATAAACAAGATCTAAGCTTGAATCCACAAAACTGTAATCTTCGAGAAGAAACCAACTTTTGAATCCACAAATTCAAAGTCCTCAACCTTTGAATTCACAAGGGGGTGCCTGAATCCACAAGTAAGAAGAAAAGGTTTTCATAATAAAGAAAACTGATTCAACTAAAAAGTGAGGATCTCAAGTTACAATGAGAACCTTTATATAGGCCTAGAAAGGAGGTGGGGTGCTCCCAAAAGAAGATCTTAACAGATCATAGGAACAAAGTCTAATTAGCTCTAAAATGACTTAAAAAGACTCTGACAAATTGAGATCTTAGACATATTCTTTAGAAATATTTTGACTAATACTGAAATGACTTAAAATAGGCTCTAACAAGTAGATATACTGAATATATCATAGGTACAGAAAGATTTTGAGCAGATCTTAGGTACAAACTCTGACAATTAGAGATTCTGAACAAATCTTAGGTACAAATTGAACCACATTAAAGTCATTTTTAGAAGTAAAAAGACATAAAGTAGAAAAAAAATATTACTTTTCGGACCTTTTGTCCATTGTTGACATATGTGGGCTTCTTTTTTAGCACTTTTCACTTTATGGACTAAATTTAAGATAAGTGGGCCCAAACTCAAAGTTGAGACTTCAACTTGTGTCTTGGGCTACGTAATATTATTCCTCCCCCCAAACGAATTATATAATCCTCTTGTTTGAGTTGCACCGACAAGCTATCATGATCATTTGGTGCCACTCAATATATTGTTCTCTTATAACAATTGGTTGGGAGGACCACCAACTGAGTAAATAGGATCTGGGTTACGTTTTCTGGTGCATCTTCGTCACCGATGGCCTCGGATTCTTATCACCCTCAGCAACCAACAGCGATGGCCTCGGATTTTGCCACCCTTAGAGATGAGGAAAAGCAGGTCTGATGCAAGATGAATATGATTGATGCGGATGAAATGAGTAGAGAACACAATGGGTAAATAACAAGCCACAAAACACAGCCCACTCGGCTGGTTTCGAGCTTACACGGCTAAATCCGATGCCGGTGGAAACACGTATGAGGAAAGACGTGATGAAATCAAAACACACGACCATTAGAGAGGGTTGAGAGGGGACGTTCGACGTTTGCACGCCACAATGTTGACGTCGATGGCAGAGCAGAAGAGGACAAGCCCGTCGCGGATCCAACTACGTGGTTAGTTGGCGGGGGGGGGTCAAGGGGGAAAACCGCCCCCTTGCGGGGTTCTGGGCAGCGCCCCAAAACCTAAATCCGATGCTGGACGAAGCAGGGCGTGCAGGGTGCTGATCGGCACGTTGCCGGGCACACAGTGCTGACAGAGAGACCCGCCGGTGACGACAAAAAGGGTTGATCAGAAAGTCTTATGAAGATCAAAGCCATCGTTCAATAGAAACCGTAGGCCTATTTATACGCTTCGGGAGGAGAGAGAGGATTACAACCTAAAGTAAATAAAAGGAAGTCAAAGATGAGTAAGTCCTAATCGTAATAGAAAGTTCGTTCCGGAGCTCGGGTCTGCCGGTGGCCACGTGGAGTGGCTTTGGTAGTTTGCGGGGTCTCCGGAGGAGGTGACGTGGAGTCCAATCATGTCGTGGTCGCCGATGGTGGGACTAGGGTCCATGCCCCACCAAGGTCGGGCTCGCAAGAGGCTTGCAGGTCACACATTCCTCCCCCGTGAAATAGGGTCTCGCGGATTTTCACTGTAGCAGAATAGATGATGTCGGGTGTAACGATCATGGGTCAGGGGAGTTGCACCTGCGAGCTATGGCGACTGGGTTTAAATTTGTAAAATACATAATGGTCTGTATATTCCATCATCATTAGCCATAGCATCATGATCTGTGCTGGGTCCAAGCAAGAGCGGTGAGACCGGTGGTGGAGGCTGGCAACGTGGCAGCTGTCGCACTTCCCAGGGACTAGTGGTGCACTACCTGGTGTGTCACGGGGACAGTGGCACTAGGCTCCCCCACTGGGCCTCGCTGCTGTTGTTTGAACCCTTTGCAACCTACCTATATCTTCTCTGACGATCTGGGAATCAGGCGAGGCTTCCTCACCTCATGGTTTTGTTGTCTGCCTTCGTTCCTTCGTGAGAGTTCGTTTGTTTCCCGTCCCGATCATCGATCGATCTGTTTTCTTCAGCCATCCGTTATTTTCCGTGGGGATTACTCGTTCATCGTGATCTTTCGTTCTTTTTTCCCTTTGTCGTCCGTCGTTCTCCGTAGTGATTTTTTTTCGACTATTCCGCTTTAGGCTAGGGAAGCAGGCACTACAGGTCCTAGCTTATCAATGTCCTCAGGTTATCCTGGGGGAATTGGCCCAAAAATGGGATAGGGGTCAAGACGCAGCCGGGCGCCGGCGGCTTACTCAAGTGCCCCCCGAACCGCGCGTTTCCGGTGTTTTCTGTCGTGATTTTTCTTACGACCATTTCTCATTTTCACTACACGATTTTCCATCTGACTCTCCTCGTTCCGCCATGGTTCATCGTTCCTCCGTGATTTTCCATCTCGTTCGTCCTGCTAAGGATTGAGAAGAAAGAGAGATAAAAGTCGTCACGTGTCTTGGCTATATTATGTATGGAAAGTCTGGGGTTTTTACGACGAATAATTCATCCATGTGATTAGAGCCTTTGAAAAATTTATAGCTTAAGCCAAGGGGAAAGGAGAAGAGAAACTTTATAGTGGTGGCATGTCTGATCTCAGCGTTTTGTTCCTCATCTCTGAAAAGGGAAACAATATTCCGAGTTCATCCTATACGAGGTAAACCAAATGTATCCCTTGATTACTTCATTCTCTCTGTCCATCCTCACTATCTCATAAAGTTTTTGTTCTCTTTCATTCTGACTTCCTTTTTCTCCACGTTGGTTGTGATATGAGTGAAATGATCAATTAAACCCACGGCATCTTGTAGTGAAGGCGATTAGAACAGTTTCGAGAAAATAATTTGAACAGATTGCGAGAGCTTAGGCATTATTAACCTATTGACGGTTTTCAACATGGTGCCTGTGTGGCATCATGCCCTTTTCTGCACCATTTCAGATGTAGACAAGGTTATATATACATGGAGAAGGTCCTTAAGTTCTTAGTCTGACCTACCAAACCCACCCCTCTCTTAGATCGCTACATACTCGTCTCCTCTTTCTCCTCTCTCTCCCTCTATAGGCTGGTGGGTTAAACTCAGGGCGTCTGCCGCAGCGATGTTAAGTGACAATAGACTAATCTTTCCTTAAGGGGAGAGCAGAGGTGACACCGATCACCACAATCCCCGTCTCCACCGATCTCCAAGGAAAAACCCACGTTGATACGATACTTTCACAAAGATGGCTCCAATGGGGTCAAGAAGTCACATTATACCTCGGAATCGCTCTCAAAAATATCCCTCTGTTGTCGGCTTTATATCCAGCGCATTAAAATTTATATCAACGCAATTCGGCGTGGACGCGTGGACACAACTGCCGGGGAAGTGGAGCCGACGGGGCTGGACGCTGCAGGCATGCAAAGCTCTGGCTGTGACCGCCGTCAAAAATCTATGGCGCCAGGTGTGCCTCAAGAACAGTCATTCCTCCACCAAACCAGGTACCGCCATTTCGTGGTGCCGCCGCCAGCTGTTTCCAGGAGCCGACTTCAACCTGCTGACATAGAACTGAGCATCCAATTACCAAAAAAAAAAAAAAAAGAACTGGATGTATGGTTAAATTCGTCTCGGGTGATCACGGCTGAACAGAAGCAGCACCTGCCACCATCTTGCTGCTAAACTAAGAACCCTAGAACAATTTGGGAGAGAAGTCTCCCGCTGATCCACACCACCTGCAACAGCGGATAGAGTTTTCGAACGGCCGAGAGTTAGCCAAGCGATTTGGTATTCTTGATCCCTGCCTGTTAGATATTTTTCAAGGCATATTTCACAACACTTTATGGCATGTGGAACAGAATAGCAACAAAAATGATATCTCATGCTTGGTGCCAACTGTTAATACTTGTTCAAATTTCAATAACAATTAAACGTTGAACCAAAAACTTTGGCTACTGTAACAAAGAACTTCAATGTTCTAATGATATCGCATTATCAGCTTAAGTGAACAGGCAACTGGGTCTGGTTGCCTGGAAGATTCACAATCGTAGAACTTAACAGTAGAATTTAAATCTGCATACAACGCTGAAAGGAGTTTTTTCCTGTTTCTCCGATCAAACAAGTGAGGCCAATGATGCAATCTACACACTGTCAGCTAACACGATCAAAACATTATTTTAAATTAGAAAAGCTATAAATCAATGTCAACGCGGCTAACAGAATCAAATCACCTGGAATGGCTAGCACACTGCTTCATCTTGCAAATAGAAAAGAGGCAAATACTGAGTGGCGGTACATGCAGTGCAGATTCTCTTAGTATGCCCAAACAATGGCTTAGAGAAGAGGACTTCTCAAAAGAGCTTCGGGGGACCTGCTGCGGCAAAAATGCTGAGAGAACTGCAGGAGATGCCTATGGTTAGTAGTGAAACAAGTGCGAGCAACAGGGGCCAAAAGAATGCAATGCATTTTATCTTCAGTGGAACTTCCGTCGACTAGTCTGAACAGTATACTATCTTACCGCATATTTGAAAGCTGAGATGCCTATGCCAATATTATCCTCTAAAATAGTAAGCCTTGACCAAAACCCGATGCCCGAACAGGCAAACCTGGTTGCGTAGAGGTAAAGTATTAATTTGCAACCACATGGTGGGTACTATGTTAAATGTAACCAAAACCAAATCGACTGATGGGTCACCTCCGTATCATAGATGACTTGAGATGGCAGGATCATGCCTCTCCTGAAGAAAATGACCCTAGTTGTGACATTGCGGAACATGTTCAAGCAACGCCATTATGGTTTATATCACTAACAATACCTGAATGGAAACATCCGACAGCAAAAGGGACCCACGAAAACCTTCTTCGGCTTGATGTGACCCAAAATTCTGCTCCGAAAGCTCATCTAGAAGTAGCAAAGAAATGGACATTTTACACACGGATCGATCAATGGTCTCGAAAAGGGTTGTTACTCAGTGGTTCTTTCATACCAGCTATGTCGCGGTTCTCATGAATCTCGGAGTCAGTGACCCGCAGAACATCTCCAGGAAAAATATTCTTGTCAGCTAGAGTAGCAGAGTCACCTTCAATTTCCATAAAACCTTTGTGAAGCTTCTGGTTTTCCTTCACTACCTGTTGCACGTTTCAATAACATGAATTTATAGCATTTTGACACATAAAAACGCCATAATCAGTACTATGCAGAAGGTTACACTGACACTAAAAACTGAAGATTACACCCTCAATTAGATATCCTTTTCTTCTTCTGTTTGGGAAACATACTATGCAGGTTGCAGAATTCCTAAAAAAATCGGCAAATTTTTAAGTGGGGATGGTATACAACTAAAAAATTATGGAGGATAAATGGCCAAAAGGAGACACCAACAAGAAAGTTCGAAAAGAACATAAATGTCTGTAAGCATTATTTTAAAAACGTTCTTTCCTGATTAGGTAGAGCTGGCAAAAATGTCAAAATAATAGTAGATTAGTAACATAAAAAAACTAACTTCTACTGCTAACTCTGCACAAAAAAAATGTAAATCATATTTCAGTGACATATTCATACCCCGAAGCACTCCCAAATCATCATCTTCACCTGATACACTGATGTTGAGCCTGATACTCTGAAATTACAAATTTTACCGGATGATGTTCTCCGTGAACGCTTGGAAGTTCTACGATCTGGCTCAGATATATTTACAGAAGCTTCTAAAAGTGATACTGGAACTTCTCTGCCGCGAATGAGGTGCACACTAATTTCCTCATTGGAATAGTTCAGCTTGCGCATCAGCTCACAGCTAGCTCTTTCTCCAATACAGTCTTCACAAATCTAGAAAACACATGGAGATGCTAAATAAGCTAACCATGGCATTCTATAACTCAGAAAGGCTATGGGTGTTGATCATAAAACTTGCAGTAACTTTTGAATGCACGGTATTATATGAACTCACTTGAGGAATGAAAGAAAATGGAAGGATGAAAGCATGTCACAGAGGGCCTTAGTGAACCTTATAGGGAAAAAATAGTGAGTTCACACTAGCAAACGTTAACATGTAAATTATGCATCTCCCTTGTCTTACGTCTGGATCAGACTTGATAATAAGATCCTTAGGCTCTAGCTCACAAGATACTTCCTCATTTGACAAATTTAAATCCTCTTCTGACATTGGGATCCCTTCACAATGTCCAGCAACTTTATTTGTGAGGCGAACAATTTCAGCAGAAATGCCTTTCTCCTCAATAGCTTTCCATTCTATACAGAAAAGCTTCCAGTCACTCTCTGGAATTATCGTTAAGCCATCAGCCTGAAATATTACACAAGAAAAAAATGAATATATAAAGATAATTAGAAATTGGAATATACATTAGTAACAGTATCATTTGAAAGTTTTACACATTACACAGGTTGAGTAAACATAAACAAGATGGTGACAACAAGAGTATAAGCATGAATAGAAGACAAAGAGAACACGAGTTCGGAAGGAAGAATGAAAGTAAGGTCTTTTTAACTGTTGAACCGTGAAAGAAAGGGGATGCGAGTTAGGAGCCACATCCCAGGACCCATTATACCCATTGTGTAGGAGATTAGTTGGCTTGTCAAGGAAAATATCCTATCCCGGTCTGATTAAAGTTCTAGCAGATGCAATAGTAAACATGAACTGAAATGCTGGTAATCATCAACATAGTCGTTAAAAATAGGAACAAAAAGGGAAAAAAATTAAAAGGCAAGGAGGAAATTCACTTACACTTGACAACTTTTGTGTGAGCAGACCACGCTTGCAAACAAGCCCAAGAGGCCTTTCGAGCAGTCGTCCATGCTGGTACATAAAAAGATCAACAATATTGCCAAGGAAACATAGCAGTTTTGGAGCTAAGATTCCAGGCTAAAAAGGCCTGAGTTGACAGGACGGAAAGACAAGCTTCTTCACTGCGATGGAAAGCCAGACCTTACTACGTTATCACTGGCTAATCTACCAACTCCAATTTACCCATATTTGGAGTACCAAAGATAATAGGAGAGAGGCTGAGACTTAAATTTGATACCCTCATCCCGTACAGCAATGGAGGAATATATTGTAGATGATCTTAATTGAAGGAAAAATATAAAGACAGCAGGACAAATAACCAATGTTTAGTGCGTACGGAGGTCACAGACAAAAGGATGGTCGTGTTTAGAAACGACTAAAAAAGTTTTGCAGAAAACAAGTGAAAATATATAGCAAGGGACATAGAGAGACGGTTTATACTACAGTGGTATTATAACACGAGGGATGTGACTCTGGCAGGCATCAATGTTAGAGTAGGAAAATATCCAAAATGCCACAATCTTCGAAGCATAGGTCCTAAATTGGAGACTCGGAAGAATTGTTTTAGCCTTCAATAGCTGTTGAGGTTACGATTGTCCCAAAGAGATTTGATTATGCGGCAACAGGTGCTTGGCACAAAACTATCCCTCAAAAATGGGGATCAGGAAACCCCTTCAAAATGAAAATTTTAGCATTGAAAACCTAGAATAGCAGACTTCCTATATTCAAGATATTATTCATTTCCATGGTCACTACCAAGATTCCTCATAGTAAAGTCAATAGTGTCATCTTCAAGAAGAAATCGAGGCTCTATAGATCATCTTGGCACTAGCATTGGATACTCGAAAATGACCACAAGGTTACATAATCCTTTATGACACATCAAGTAACGTGAATCTTCAGATGAGAGTACCTAGCAAAAAACGATCATCAGTCTAAATCACGTTTGAGGAAAGGACTAAGATCATCTCCAAAGGGGAGGGACATCAGCTTTTTTACTCCATGAGGATGTAGTGGTGAGTATCTCTATCCACATTGGATGTTGGCATACCTCATTGATTCTTTATGAGATACCCTTTTTAGGGCAATTGAGACAGTGCAATCATACATGATGCCACCCACTTCATGAAAGATATCTTACAAAACCCTTGGACAGTAGGAAGGAGACCTTACAAATCGATTTTTCTGCTAAAAAAATTCTTTTCAATATACAACAGGGTTGTAGAAAGTTAAAAAATCAATCGGAAATATTTTGATGTCACCTTTTCGCATTTTAGTGAATTGACAACGACCTCCAAGCATTCAGGTTCAACGGAAGAACTATTCTTCCCTGTTGTCGTGATATACGCTCTCCATTTTGTGAGCCACAATGATGGCACCAAGAAGTACTTATCACCAGGGTAAAGGTTAATGATTTTCCCAGAAAATAACCTTTCATGACTCTGCCGCTGTTTAAGCTTTGACTCTCTGCAATGTTAACAAAAACGTAAAAGTTTACAAGACCACATTACAGAGGAAGACGAAGTATTATCGTGTACCTAAGGCTACCCGTAAGGGATGCAACTTCCGAAAGTTCCTCGTAGCAAGTTTTACAAGGCTGCGAATCAGAATGGAACACTTGGCAGCCCAATAAATCATCTGCTTTCGCAGCATTAGCACTTTCAAGAAGAAACAGCCAGAGGCTCTCAGGAACCTGGACACGCTTTGCACCAGGAGCCTGTTCTGGCAGTAAGTTACCATGGGAACATCTGAGAGATGCTGTAGGCCCAGCATCAGCATCACATCGGTTATCAACATTTTTTCTACGCAACCAATGATTCAACCTAAAGAGAAAAAAAAAATAATGTGATAGTATGCTCAAAAGGAAACACCACGGAAAAAAAAGGAACCAAAATCATCTGGATAGAATGAAATTTCTGGGTTTAGAGAAAATAATGATTTTCCTACCGGAATGAAAAATTTAGAATAACCACGACACAAGAAATAGCTAAGAATATGTTTTGGAACGTAAAGATGGAAGCTATGCATAACCTGTTCATGTGAATAGAGAAGATCCTGATGTTTTGCAAACATAAAGATATTTCCATATACAAAACAAAAAATCGAGAAATATGGATACAAATAGCAAGATCATACATTGTGTATCGATTCATTAGTTTTGTCTCTTGGAATGATAAAAACTGTATCATTATGTTGATGCATGCTACAAGGAGCGCGAATGATTGAGAGACTAAATAATTAAATATATACTTAGTTTATCCATAAAACTATCTTCCCAATTGTTAACAAAATAAAGTCGGACTTGAGATTTTGATCATCAACTTTTTTAATGTGGCCCTGACACTATGAGGAGATATGGTTAAAGAGGAAACCAAAACTCAAATATGATAGAGTTACTTCATTTCTTTCACTATGCGATGAAAATGAATTCATAGCAATTTTAACCATTTCAAAATTTAAAAATAGAGGCTCCACGGCAGCATTTGTCACTGCATGCCCAAAAATAGAGGAGAATCCGTAGAACCAGTTGTTTTTCCATTGCTAGTTTTCCAATTGTTATGACAAGGTGCAATATGTTTAATTGTTGAGAGAATAGTCAGCGTGCATTTCGCATACATCTGCTTAGCCCATACACCTGGTCTTCACATCTGACATCAATTATTTTAATTATGGTCCATACTCTTTATCGATCAAACAAATGTGTCAATTACCAACACGTGGTTACATGCTTGAGTATCAGAATAAAAGAATATAATCCGAACAGGGAATGGACTGGCAGAAGATGGGCAATGGTTAACCCAGAAAAATACCAAAAAATGTGCAGATAACAAAAAATACAAAAGTTAACATAAAGTCCCGAGAAAAAATAACTAATACCATGTTCTCGACACATAATATAATTTTCCATCAGTCCACTTCCCAGCTAGTGCCGCCTCTGCGAATTGCTTCATGGCAGCCCTTCGATCTCGGTAATCATCAGCTGAAACAAAATTCCGGGCTTCTTCCTTCAGGCACTCAATGCAGTAGTCATCACCGCTCAAAATCGGGCGACCTCCATACTGAAAATGAGAAACATTGAAAACATCAAGTGAAATTAAACAGGAGACAGTCCAAAAATGAGGCATGAATATGCATAAAATTCGGGGTCCAAAACGTATCAAACGAATAAAGTGAAGATGAGAAAACCATTTTAAAATCTTATTGCATCACAAATGATTACTTTAAACAGGTGGATGAGTAATTAGCAATTGACAATGGTCAGAGGCACAGGCATTGCATCCCCAATGCTCTCACACTAAATAGATCCGCCTGCTTTAGATAGGAACCACGCAACCGTTAAATTGGAAAATGAGGTATTATTATGCGATAATTCTTTCTGCTACACTGCTAAATTGGAGGAACGAATGGACATCCACACCTGGTAGAATTTGCCTGGAATCTTTAGAGGAGCTCGAGTCAAAATAGGATAGGAGATGCCATGAGAAAACAGCAGGGTAGGAGAAATGGATATTACTGCATACAACAATTTGAGACATGACAGGGAGAAAACCATGAATATTCACATTGAGTTTGAAAGGAAAGATCGAGGGTGAATAAATGGGGCAGAGACTATGTTGATACTTGTGTTTCCTCCACCAAACGGGAATATGATTGTCAGGCTGAGTGAAGAAGCGGGAAACCTTTTCCCATTGTGATTAGAATGTTTTATTTTAAAATATGGGGATACGATAGAAGAATTTACAGATTCATGTTCTTTTGGTCATGTGTGATGTATGACACCAACGGCTTCTGAAATAACTGAGAAATAGATCAGAATAAACTTAGGAAATGAAATAGATTTGATAGAAATATCATATCATAGAGAGGAGGCAGTATCTTGATAAAAATGATGCAAGGGTACACCAGACAACATTGGAATACTTCTCACCCTGGAAAGTAGTTTAGACCATGCAGTACTCGAAATGCGTTTCATGCAGCTGACTTTATGAACAGCAACTTTTCCGTGTGAGCACTGAATGCTGCTGTTGTCAACATGTCTGTCCAACACAACAAAGTAAAGAAAGTATTTTGAATTTTAGAGAGCTAACCGGTCAAAGAACATGTTGTACGCCATTTGTGTAGGATAACTGATACTCACAGAAGATTGGTGTTGCCAGTCCATGGTAGGTCAATATTATCAGCCCACTGGCGAAGCCAATCAACTGAAACCCAGAAGAATGGTTCTTCAGCCAAATGAACAGAGGCTTCAGAAAGAATTGCCTTAACTTCTTGTCGCCGTTCAGTTATGTGAGCAACCAGCATATCCTTCTTTGACTGGTATTCAAGACAATTCTTGACAAAAGGTGCATTAAAATGTTCAACCTCTTCAGAAAGATGAGTTGGAAGAGCAGTAATATTATCAGGAACCAACATATCAACATCTTTGGTGTCTGGCCCAAAACTTTTATCAGATCTCGCTACATATTTATCGCCAATTGTGCAGTTATATATCAGCATATAGGCATTAGTCGGAGAAAATATCTCTTGATGCCTGAAAAGAGAACTATGGTCTCCGTCAGAAGCAGGTTGCAGCTTCTCAGATTGCACAGGTTGCAGTGCATTGGCAGACGATTTTGATGATGCTTCCCCAAAAGGTTGATGACCCAACTTGAGGATAGTCTCATCATCGAACTCCCACCACTGCCCAGTGTATTCATCCTTAATACGTGCCACATAATGCCCACTAGTGGCAGTAGCACCCTTGTGAATTAGTATAGCTGAAAGATCATACAACAGCTCCGGCTCAGAGACGTTATCCAATCGTCTTCCCATATTTAATTTGCTGGGAAAACTGAAGGATGACTTAATCTTCTTCTTTTTTGTCATCTGATGAAAGGGAAGTGCGTTCCAAAAAACATTAGCACAAAAAGAATGAGTTAATAAACATCATGATTAACTAAAGCAGAGAGAGTCTTTATGGCTCTTAATACTGAGTGCCTCACCTCAGTTAGAAAGTCATAGCGCTTAAGCTGAAGTGTAAGAATGGGAGGGAGCGCATGCAATTTAATACAGCGGGTTGCATCAACTCGTTTTCCACACGACTGACAGAAATATTGATTTTCCCCAGAGAGTTCTTCTACACTAAGGTAATCATCCAAACTCGCATCTAAGTTATCCAATCCCTTAATGTTCAACTCAAGTCCATAGAAGTCATCCATCTTTGAAGAAGCTTCAGAGTCTTTTCCACATGATGAGCACCTTGAAAAAGAGTGTTATAGACCAATTATTCCCCAACATGAAGATAAACCAAACAAAGGCAACCTTATTGTCACCAGAAAAGTAATGTTGAAACTCAATAGAAATGGACTGAAACCAAATTTTTATATGAATCCTGATGAGAAAGAAAGAGCTGGGAAATTTGTCACCCTCACCCGACAGTAACCTTACTGTTCTTGCTAAAAGATCTATCGATCAGATGCTCTCTTACATTTAGAAACAGAGATCCTCATATCTTATCCATAGTGGGGATGTACAAGTACCCTCCAAGAACACATGTGCCAATTGATAAGTCCATATCCCAAATTCAGCAACTTTCATGGGCCTGTCTAGGATGATCTTGTGAAAAAAGTTTAATGGGCTCTTTTTACCTACTCATCAAGCCACTGATTTGAGAGTTTTTCAAAAGTTACTAACCAGATACTGAACCAAGGGCTACAGTATGATAATAGGAGGCATTTTTGTAGTTATTTTCAGGAGATGAGACTGCCTGAAGTATCTCCCTTACGAAGGCAGCTACCACAATACAGTGGAGTTGCCCGGATGACTGGACTAGGAAGAGCACATCTGGTACCATTTAAGTCATTTCGGGGCTTCTTTACTTATATAAATATAAATGGATAGATAACCTCACTACACTTCACAATAAAAGTGATTTTCCATTAATGAAAATAAATATTTCACAAAGGCAAATGGCTGCAAGGAAAAAATAGGGAAGCAATCAGAATTTCAAAACCCACATGGATTCCAAGCAGCTGTATTGCTTATTAAAATGAGACGCTTAAAAAAATCTCTTACCGCGTCACATGTGACACACTGCCACGAAATAGATCTTGGATAAGAGTTCTTGCTTTAGAAACTTTTGAATGGATAAGGGAGCCCTCCAGTAAAGAAAGAAATAAAGTGAGAAACTCATGACTATCTTGCTGAGCACCCTCGTCCAACACCAATGTCTTAACAAATGGGAACGAGTCAATAACAGCCTTTTCACTGGAATGTAGTAGTGCAAAGAGACGTGCTAGTTGATCCAACACAGGATGCTGCTTCAGGAGATCTGACTCAATAGAGAAAATGCCAGCTCTAAAAGATATATTCATATATAAACACTGAAGTATACTATTCGCATAGCAGGTTGCCCCAACATTAGTCAGTCCAGCAGGTTTTTCTGTGGGAGAGCGGTGATCCTCACATGGGTCTGGACCAAGAAGAGAAGAAATAAGGTCTGATAACTTTTGCCACAAACCACTTTTTCTAGCTCCGCTAGATGATGGAATTAGGCCGCAGAAGCAGTTTGGGGAGTCCTTGGAATTTACACGGCAACCCTGACAATGAGGTCTGCTGATTGCATAGAGCTGGCAAATGTCATTATGTGTTACCTCACCAGTTAGATGAATTCTCCTAAAAGAGACAAAAATATTAATGGATCCTGAAACAATTACTAGTTACTAATAAAAAGAAGAAAGATACTGTCTAACCTCAGTATCCTAGGAGTGTTATCACCATCGTCAACCTTATGCCATTTTTTGCTACGAGTAGCTTGTCTACTCATTGTGTTGACAACTGAACATACAGTTATGCGATGGAAGTACTTTGTGATGTGGAAAAAAGTTGCAGCTGAAAAGGAGACAATTCAGCAGGAAAATGGATTATGAGAAAATTTTCAAAACATTGTTAAAGCCCTGTAAAAAAAATATGGATAAAAGTTAGTGGCCTGTACTCTCAAATCTCCAAAACGGTGAAAGAAAACAAGCCCACATTTAATATATACTCAATGACTCGGGAAATACATGAGATAATCTTAGAAATCTCGTTGAAATCAATATTAGAGAATGTATACAGAATACGAACATCATACACATGTACGGCTTCAAATGACCTCAAACTTCCACATTCCAGGAACAGATTCAGTTGTCCATAAGTGCACGTCAATAAGATATCAATATATTTGCAATTTCTGAGTTTTCTTTGTATCGTTCCCTAACTTTTCCTTTTGGAATCAATCGATTACATCAAGAAAGCATTTTAATGTCAAAACATTAAACGTCACCACATGATGTCAGACGGATGGAATCGAGCAAACAACATGCAAGACAACCAAGATGACGCCATTGTCTTATGCCGAAAGACCTAGTACTGCCCGAGTGAAAACAAATGAAAGATATTACAACTTTTCTGTACCCACGTCAGAAGGTCATTCCTCTCAGAACGCACTCTGCTCTACGTGTGCTGAGGATCCAAGGAAGACTTTGGAAAATAAGGGATCATTATGTCAGGAAGGAGACTGGCGAGTAGTCATTTCCTTTCACGAATACTTTCCAATACATAAATAAGCACAACAGGCGAAGATTTACCGAGCCATCTCGCATAACATATCACATGTTTTCCTCGAGGCACTATTTTGATAGAAGCCTGGCAAGTCAAATCAATGCAGGTGGCCGCTTTGAATAGCGAAAGCGCGGAAAAAAACTGGAAACACTCGGTCATGCATGAGAAAGCATTACGAGTTGCAGGAATAAAACATCGCGCAGCTGGCCATTCCCACCAACTGCTCAAGGGACTTCCTCACTCCCTGGAGTACTAGGAGGATTTGAGCGCATTACGCCGGAATCAGGCTGAAGGACAGACAGAGTAGAGACGAGTAGCCTTAGAAACCATATCTCCAAGAGCACACACCAAAAGTTCCAACCAGGCGCCGAAGGAAAGCGAGAATCAACACCACCCTCTCGGGGCATATGAGACACGGTACAGTCGGCCGGTCGATACAGAGGAAGATGGAAAGAGGAAGAAACCTGATCCTCAGGTGTAGGCACGGAGCCGTTGCCGTCAAAACTACTCCAGGGGAAGTAGAGTCGCCAATGGAACGGGAGTCCGGGCAACTAGGGCATCCACCCCCGTCGGCTCGCCTACGATCGATGCCTTTCCCCTTCTTTATGCCCCTACAATTTCCTGCGTCGACTGCCCTCATTTCCTGCGCCTCGCTCGCCTCCTCTGGAATAGTGCCCTCTCTCTCTCTCTCGCTCGCTCGTCGTCAGAGTAGGGAGCACGGAAGAAATGGCCCAGTCCGTTATGTCTGTTATTCGGCCTGTTGTATCTGTCTGGTTATGGCACCACCTCCACCGCCCGAAAGGCTACATCCAGACATCGCCTTCTGCCATATTATGACTTTTGATAGATTTCGGCATCTAGGGGGTGAAATATTGCATTTCAGTCTTGATTTATTTCAGCCTAAACAAGTTGTAATTGATTTAGTTTTTGGGCCGGTCGTGATAGCTCGCACCCAAAAATCTACGGGTATTTCCACCCGATACTGTCCCTTCTACTCCAGTAGCCGATGCGGTAGCCACGAAGGCACGCCTCGGCACTGCACATGTGGACGTGCATGGGACCGGAAGAGGAATTCCCTGGTACGGGCCGGTGCCCTGGCAGGCCTTGTGGGCCGTTGGCAGGGCGTGGCACAGCGTCGGCACAGCAGCGAAACTCGCGGCGGCCGCGCAGGCGGGAGCGAGCGGCAGGCGCTCACAGGCAAGGCGCACGGCAGGCGCGCACGTGGGCGAGCGGCAACAGCGCAGCGCCTGGCACGTGAGCGGCGCGCGCGACGTGGGCGTAACTGCCGCGGGAAGACCGGCAAGTTCCGAACGTGGCAGGGCTGCGTAACGTCCAGTAAAGGCGAGGGCATTTACTGGAGAAACGAGTTTAGGAGAGGCTAATGGTAATGGCACCACCGCTTTACCTGGGCCTCTTCCGGTATCTCCTCTAAAGGGGGTTATCTCGGCCTGGACGGCCAACGGAGAGACGAGTGAGCACAGTGCTCGGTCCCTTTCTTCCCCCCGTATTCCTGGTCTGGAATAAAATCCTGTTCCGCCATCTCTTGATGGTTAGAGCTTCGGCAGGATCTCCCAAGGTCCAAGGAGAGGTTAGGCTGACTTGGACGTGCTGCCGTACGTCTAACGCGGAACACGGGCAATATCTGGCGAAGAACTATTGGCTGCGCGCTCGCCGACGTTTTCGGAAATCCCGACCCTTTCCTCAGTTGATGGTCTCCCAGAAACTGGTTATGGAAAGAAGGTATAATTGAGCAGCGCTGTATGATCATCGCTTGCCGGCACAACTTCCGCTCACCCCAGGATAGGGAAGCTTACGGAGCTTGGATGTCTGTGAGGTATTTATTTCTTTCTTTACATTTTCAGAAACTTGATCTTAATAAATCTTAATGGGTCTAGTTCTCAAGGTATTTTTGAGATAGGTGGGAGTGACATGGAGAAAAATAGAATTTGTAAATTTCGGAAATATAGGGGATGGGACCGAAGTAGATGGCTCGTTTTATGAAGGACGATTGGCCAACGAGGAGATAGTTCCTGGACCTTTCCACTATGAGCCCACGTGGAGGAGTTCATCGATTCAATAATTGGTCCATACTCTACCTTTTATATAAAAATGTACTAGCTAGAAAGATAAAACATGTTTGGGGTGTCTTAAGCCCAATAACTGGGCCAGCATCCTAGACTTTCCCGACCCAGATCAGCCTAATCCCCAGAGCTATCTCAGAACCTGAAATTTTACAGGAATTGATGCTGGGACGTTTCAATACTGGGCTTATCCAGCTCGATTCCCACACAAAAAGTATAATGCAAAGACAGCAGAGACCCACCCTCCTCTCTCTCTCTCTCTCTCTCTCTCTCTCTCTCTCTCTCTCTCTCAGTGACGCGTGAAGCCAAATGTATATGATCCAACCCAACCCATTAAAATCGGCCTACAGGGATTCCCCATGTTGGGAACCATCTATGAAAACCCAGTATGAAGCCTTATCTGGCTATCTCTTTCTCTCTCTAAAGGTTGAAGACGGTAGATCTTAGTCATCAGCAACAATGAAACCTTCAAATGGGAGGAGAACCAGCATGAAGCCTCCCCTCTCCCTCTAAAGCTTGAAGACGAAATAAGCTCTTCGTAACCAGTAACAAAGAATCCTACGTCCAATAGAGGGAAAACAATTGATCAAACAAGACCCGACCTCAGCATGAACCTTCGCTCACAGGGCATCTTTAGTGTATGTGAAATACATGGTCTTGAAACAAAAACGCCCGAATTGTGGAAGGAGGGGTAGGATAACGGAGTCAGTCTCTTGAAACTCTTGAGATCCGGACCTGTAGCACGGGCTGCACCTTGAAGTCAACCATCTCAAAATGGCAGGTGTCTCCTTCCCGTATTCCGTTTCCCACTACGAAGGCTTCCCAGCCGCCCAGAAACCCAAGAAACCGGAAGCTCTCAAGGTAGACGACCGGCCAGATCCTCATGTCTGGATCGCGGAGCGGCACCACCTTCCTCTCGAGCTTCTTTCTTCCAAGGATCGATGGAATTGGGTCAGGCAACTCCTGCGAAGAGATCAATAGAACGATATATACAGCCCAGATCATCAACATTATTCATTGCGGTACTATTATACCTAAATTACGCCATTGTAATCAACCCTCACCTCAGGCTTTTTCATTTTGTGAAAAAAAAGAGGCTATATAAAAATTGTGATCAAAGGGTTTAGTTTAATCACCTACACAGCCCAAGAATACATCTATAGCCTATGATATCATGCCAAAAGAAGTGGGTTCTCTAACTCAGATCCAGCCGTGTATGTGCGGCATAGATAAAATATTTTAGCCACATAATTCAATTCTTCCATTCAACAAGTGTTTCATCCTGTTCTTGGTTATATTTCTCAAAATGTATTTATTTCATTTTTCATCCCATCTCCTTTGATCTATGACACCCATATATGGGCAGGTCACTTTACCCACTGTATCAAGAAGCTCGATTCTTTCTACAAATTCACAATCAGAGATGGTCTTGGATACTTACATGGCATGTCAAGGTATCCACAACCAGAGAGAAGCTGAAAGGGGGTGGGTTGGCTGCCAAAGGCTCATCCTCAGACAAGATCTCAATCTTCACCTCTTTCAAGACAGCTTCTTCAAGAGAGGGCTTCAACTTCTCATCTTCCTTTACGATGGCATCGCCCTTCACTCCTACATAGACAGCCTTGACGTTGAGAATGGTCCGACCCTTACTTCACAAGAAAAATACTTTTATATGATATAAAGTTAGTTAGAGAATAAGGATGAAGAACTTGCTACCGTATTCGCATGATGATCCACCCAGCTTTTCCTCCTGCAATGGGACAACCTCAGTGATGTCTTCTGGGTGATCTCTTACCACGGAAGCATTATCGCCTGCAGGTCTGGCTTCAGCATTCCTCCCGGGGGCGTCGAAGTGCATAAATTATAATAACATAATAAAAATAATGCATATACATTAGAGTTTAGAAAAGGTAGTATGCTTAGACTGACACAAGGCCTCCAAATGGGCATTCTGTGCATCATTCTTACCGTTTATCTGGTCAGTTTTAGCAGAATATTCTTCTCTTCCGCCACAAAGTGTAGGGGATGTAGAGAGCTTCTTTGGGGCAATATCATGGGGAGAAGAGATTCTCTTGATTGTGGATGAGCTGCACAGTTTTGATTTTTGGATGCCATTCACATCATCTTTGGACAAACCTATGTTGTTACCGTGTGACCCAGGATCGAAGATTGAATTATGTACAATGTGACAAGTTCCCTGACCATCGACAAGAAATTGATATACATGGGTATCATAGCAATACTGATTTGCTTCCTCACTTTTGCTACGACCCAATGATGGCATCCATTCAGATCCTATGGCGTTGTTAGCACCAATCGTCTTCCGCAGGTTGCAATCCTCCGATGCATTCAATCCTCTTTCCTTGGGAGGAGCCCCTCCCCAATTACTTACTCTGGATATTGGCAATTCCATAATCAAGTTTCTTTGACTCTCAACCCTTGTCGAGCGATCATCCGCAATGGTGGTGCCTTTGGTTTGAAAATACTCAGAATTTGAGATTTCTGCTGCCGTCTTCTGCCTGCTCGACTTATGTGGGCCCCGCCGTTTCTCCTCCTCTACATTCTCATCATCACTGATGAAAATGCATGCAATCTCATTATAATCGATCGCAGCAGCAGTTTGGTGCTCCGTTGGTTTGCTAGGAATAGCTCTGTTAGGTGTCCCTCTTCCACCAGAATCTTCCGGCTTTCCACAGCAGTTCGCAGCAGATTCATCAGGCTTCTTGGCATTTCCGTGCAGGCCCAATAACCACTCGGAAGCCAATCTCTTCCTTCTGCTGGAACAGTGCACAAGAGATTTACTTCTGTCGTCATGTATTATGGGGCGAAAATGCCTTCGTTCACAGGCACTCTTGCCAAATATCTGCACAATAAAAGTTGAAACTTCGGCGTATTTGAAGACCAGCATCTCTCCAACCACAATAGAGTGTTGCAGTACAAACACGTCCCATCCCTTCCCAAAGGCTAGGCAACCATCCATCTTTGAAACCTTGACCTGCCAACGGCGGCCGTCTGAGTCTTCGAGGTGGGCAGTTTCATCAAGGAGGTCTCCCCAAAGACGAGCAAATTTTGGTGGTACTGTCTGTAAGGAATACAAGCCTCAGAAATTGGAAAGCTCATTCTCCACTCAGGGGAGAGGGAATGCAAAGACTAGTGGAGGAGAGTGACGCCAAAAAATATACACTTCAAGACTGTTTTCCCTAATAAACAGAGCTTGGATTGACAAGTCTAAAGGCCAATGTAGTAATGTAAACAGAGTAAAAATACATCAAGAAAGCTACTCGGGGGTGGATGCAGAGTAGAACCAACATTATGGTCGGTATCTGACTGAGACAATGGGAATGGGCCATGAAACAGAGCACCATGAATGATCTCCAAGAAAAGAAAATATTATAGATCCTCTTTGCATGCTTCCAAGTTAAGGCGAGTAAGTACCAGATTCGGGGGTGTGAAACGCTGAACCCAAATAAGTAAGGCTGCTGACGTTTATGGGTGGTTCAAATTCTCCATCGAGATGATCCAAGAACTGAGGTCTGCACACCCAAATGCTGCTGCAAGCAATGTTTCCTTCCATGTTCATCCTCGTTGATGGAAATACTTGCGGAAAGGTCGGTGATGGATCATAAATTTTCATGAGGTGATATATGGACTAGGGTCTCTAAAAGCAATCACGCGAACATTCTGTGCTTCATACGCTATTATTGTGAAGAGAATAAATGATAAATCAGAGGGAGGTCCACCTCAACACAGATCATGGGAACATGCTAATGAGATCAGTAAAGATGTGGACAAATCTATGCAACTCGGAAAGAAACCAGTTGATGAAAGAAGAAAGAAGAAAAGAAGAAAAGATATGGAAGAGTGAGAAAGGGGAAGAAGCACATGCCCAGCATTTTCTGTAAGAGAAAAAATCGGCACGAATGGACAACGAAAACATAAAGAAAGGAAATCCGGGGGGCTAACCAGGGATTCTCTGAAATGGCCCAACATGATTTTGAAGAAGGAAAGATGTGGTGGGGCCGACGGACGTCCCCTCTTGACACGGGCCTTGGCGCTTTCCGCGAATGCCCAGTTGTGCTGATCAACACCCATGTTCTCTTCACATCACCCCCTCTAACCCCTCTGAAGTTTTCCCTCCTGCAGGGGGCAACCCAATCCCTCGCTCCGCGCTGCGTCTTATTTACTCCCTGCTTTCCTGTCCCTGTCCAGGTTCTCGAACTGCACAGCCTCCTGCTGTAGCCTTTCCTTCCCACCTCGTCTCGTATTCCTCGACAAAGCTTGTGGATTTCACACTCTTTCTCTCCCTCCTCTCTCCCCTTCCCCTTCCTTCTCTGTCGCTTCCATCGCTGTCAACGGTCTGCCTGTGTTACACTCTCGGACCGTTCATGCTGTCTTTTTCTGGCTTCCCCATGCGGTTCCTCCAACACCAGCGAAAAAGGTAGGTTCATATCGGGTTTTACTCAGACCCTTGAGATAACCACGGATAGCTTCGCGTTCGAATGCATTCTCAAATCGGCTGTTCAAATGTAATCTTCAACAATCATATCTACTCAAGAAAAATAATCGCTTAAAATCCATCCTATTACTAAGAAATTCATTCTCACAAGTACATATTAAAGTAATTTCTGTGAGCAAACTTGCCAACGGAAACTCCATACTCTGCTATGTCGAATGGATGCTCTCCAAATTCAGACCGAGAGAATCTGAACTTGGTCTCTGGTGGGTCCAACAATAAGGCGTAATTGGATTCATTCATTATTCAGAATTAATGGATCTACATTTTTTTAAATCAAAGTTAAAGGATCTCAGATCCCTTTAAATCAAGATCCAAAAACTTTTGAACAATGACAAAACGGATGCCTTTCTGAATCTGAAACGTCTGAAACGAAATCAACCGGTGTTCGTTCGTTTAAGGGACTGCCCCGTCTATCGATACATTAGGGATTGAAAATACTTGTATCGTGATTTTGCCAAACTATTCACTTATTTTATTTCCGATTATAGCGACGACTTCTCTCATTTTTCTCTCTCTGTGACGGACGAACGGGAAGGACAATCACGGGCGAACGAAGAAAAAGAAAACGGGAAATCTCAACGATGAATCCTGCGCGAACCAGAGGAATCGGAAAAACGGCGGAAGAAACGAGAAAAAACAGATGGAAGCTCGCTATGGAAAACGAACGAGAAATCACGACGCATAATAATCGGCGATCGAAGAAGAACAGACGGGGAAGATCAGGAAGGGAAAGCGAACGGAATGTCGCAACGGAAAGGGAGGAACAGACGCAGAAAAAACGAACTTGCGATTATCACCTGAAATATAACGTCTTTCGATAACCCATCTGGTTGTACATCTCTCACTCCCAAGCTCCAAAAATCAAAGGAAGATCGATTTTTCCACTGCGCCGGAAAAATGAGGAGTTGACGACAAAAACCAAGCTGATCTTCACCGGAAAAACGAGGACTGCGATGATGGAAAATCACCCTGATATTCATCGGAAAATGGAAGAGAATGACATGGAAAATTGAGCTTACATTGTCGGAAAAAAAAAAGGAAAACGATGTCGGAAAATCACCCAGATCTTTACCAGAAAATTGAGAATTTTGACGACAAGAAATCCTTAAATCTTCGCCGGAAAACAAAGGAGTTGGACGAAGAGAATCTCTCTAATCATTGCAGAAAAACAAGAGAACGTCGCCAGAAAAAGGAGGAGAATAACGACGAGAAATCTCTGATCTTGGCCGGAAAAGAAGAAGAGGAAATTCTTTTTTTCAGATGAAGCCGGTGCAATCAGCAAGCTGGAGAATGAATTGAGCCCCTGTTTTGTCTACATGACTAGTGTCTAAATCGGTCAATGACGGCACGGCACAAGCCTTTTTGATTCTCCTCTTTGCTGCAGATCCAACTCTGGTTTCGTCCCCGTTGACCTATCTGATTCTGATTGTGGGGCATTCAATCAACCTGCCGTAAGAGGCTTTTCTGTGGACTAGGAGAGTAGCCGCAAATCCTTGAAGATATCGGATCCTATCTCTCGGAGACCAAAAAGCTCCACCTCTGGCTTTGGGGGCCCTTCTACCACTTCGACTGATGCAGACCCCGTTCCCGTTAAGGGCATTTCTTGCCTGTATAACTTTAATGAGAAGAGATCTAGAAACCTATTCTGTTCCATAATCAAATCTGATCTGTATTTTTTTCGTGACGTACAAAAGTCCCTTGTGATCGTATTTTTTCCGCACTGAAAAATAATAATATTAAGCGAATGGAATCACCTACCCCTGCTTGTGACTTTCTATGTGTCCCTTCTCCATTCTCACAGATCGCAGTGTCGCTTACTAATCGCTAACCATAGGGATTGTTGTAAGGTGTTTGAACATAAAGTGGCCATTGCTACGTGTTGAATCGCAGTCTCGTTCAAAAACATAGCAAGTCACAAGCAGGGGTAAGTGATTCCATTCGCTTAATAATCCCATGACCTTCCAACAAAAAACGTCCTTTAGCCACTGTTGAGGATCTACGGTTAAGCTGCTTTCCCCATAGAATTGCTTATTGTTGCAAGTTCCCACAGTGGCCATTGCTAGTGAGTTATGTGAGTTTATAGGCTAACATAGTTAACTTTGCAGCCCACTCAATGTACCAGCACCTCTATGCGTGTGCTGGCACTACGCCACACGGTCTCACTCAAACGCTCTCCTATGCGACCGACCATGTTGCACTGTGCCTCTACCATGCAACCGACCATCCAGGTCCTGAGAAGTTCCCATTACCCTTGCACAGTCCCATAATATGGTGCTGTCATGCCATCCTGTGTCATCAGTCATTTAGGTTCATGGGACACCCAATGAACCTAGCCCTATCCTCAGAGAGTCTACATTCTTGCAACAAAAATCGTTTATCATGCACACTCACAGCTGTCATGTCGTGCCATCAGGGGCCACTACATGTGGAATACTAGCTTGTGCATGCTGTGCTGGGCCTATATCATAGAGGTGGACTTACCGCATATGCATGTAAGCTTTCATGCCCTCAAGCTGGTGATAAAGTTTCGTTCTTAGAATCTTGTTCCTTTGAGCAAGGGGTGTGAAATCTTCCCACATTCATTGAATCCAATGCGTGTCTCAAAGGATGATTGGTACTTAGTGATGGAAACATCAAACTGTCACAAGTCAATGTCTTGCTCTTGCATGGAAGATATGGAAGACTAGGTTCAATGTTATGGAACCTAATCTTTTCAATGACTAGAAAATTCTTACATTAACTGTCACAAGTATCATTAAGACTGGAAGTTAATGATATCAAGGAGTACATTTCAATGTTATGGAACATTTACTCATTGTCTTGCTCTTACATTTCTAGTCATTGACTTGTGACAATTACTGCTCTTACAAGTCAAGTTAATTTACTTTTGGCTTTAACGAGGAGATATGGAAGATTAGGTTCAATGTCTTGAACTAAGAAAAATAACTAAATGTATCCAGAGTAGTTTTCAACAATGATAAGAGCATAATATTTTTCTTCTAAGTTAATAATCTTGCTTGGACTAAATAAGTCTAGGTAAATCAAATCTAACGGTTTTGTTGAAGAGATATACCTTTAGTTTTAATGGTTCTCTTGTTTGTTTTCCTTTGATATAGCTTTCACATGTATAATTTTATGTGTTTGTGAAGCTAGGTAATCCTCTAAATAATTTTTCTAGCATTCACATGTCCAAACTTCCAATGTCACTGATTCATGTATTTTTAAATTTTTTTCAGCCATGAGACATGCTAGTTTTACTAATTTATTTAAGATATAAACAAAAATCTTTTTTATTCTAACACCTTTAAATAGTAGCCCTTTATTTCTATCGTTTAATACAAGACATCCTTCTAACTTCCATATCATTATCAAATAATTAACTTATCCAGATTAAGTTATGTTTTAACATATCAACAAGGAAAATATTTTGAAATAAAGTCTTATCTTCAAATTAGATATTTTCACACCCAAGTATTTATAATACTCTAATTATGCTATATGCTTGGATCATATATGCACATTTTCATTACATTTAGTAAACATTGTCTTGAATTTAATGTAAGATGGAATCATTATGATTTGATCAATAATCGACATGAATTATGCTTAAAGTGTGATCTATGAGCTTAGCACATTATAACAATGAATTTGCATGTAGTGTCTTGATTGAAATTTTTTTAAAAACTTTAAGAAGTGTTGAGTGAAATTTTAGAATTTTTCAAGATTTATTTGGATGATATTCAGAATTTTCAAGCATGAGATTTGAAGCCTTTATTTATTATGGACTTGAAGCTAATTTTTATGAATGATGGAGGTGTTTATACTTTGTGAGATGTCATTTTATCTCACATGAAATTGAGTGGCGAAGAACCACTTAAACATATCACGTGAGTTTCATTTAAGCACCTGCCTACATAACATAGATTAATTTGTATAATTATAGGAAATGAAGAAAGGAGAAGGTGGCATAAAATAATCAAAACAACCACTTAAAGAAAAGATGGTTGACCAGAATTTCAGAGATCATAATGCACCTCAACCATGCATGAGGATTTGAAGGAGGAAGCTGAGGAAAGGGCGATTAGGAACCGTTATACTAACCATCCATATCTACCCAT